GGGGGGGGGGGGGAGAGGCCAGCAAAGGCGGCAGGTTGAGGGGAGTGTGTGCGAATGAGTGTGTGCATGTGTGAAATAAGTCTGTGAACACTGTTCCAGACACACACCCCCACCCCCCACCCTGCCATAGTCCATGATAAGTGATGGTGCTTTTATCAGCTGGCCTTGGTAGAGCTCTGACATAGGTCCACAGATGTCCTTGGGGAAAGGAAACTGGTAGAGGGAGTAGAACGTTGTTGTTCACATAACATCCAAGAAAATTTGAGATAATCAACTTCCAAGCTGACACAGGAGAGCCAGATTCAGATAACAACAGTTGTTTTGGGTCAGGCCAGCTCCATTATTTGCTGTCTGCCTTACAGTTCCACTGGTACATCTCAATGGCGACTCCAAATAGTCAAATTTCTGTGGTCAGTACCGCCGGGCCGAGCTTGTAACTTCTTCAAGGTCAATTCCTTCCTGTCCGTGAGATCTAGGAGCCGCAAATAGTCTGTGATTCTCAGCAGAAATTGCATCCAGCTTATGGCTCAGCTCACATAGCATTTGAGTCTGAGTGTTCACAGCTGGGCACATTCCTTTACAGAGGTCAGGCAGCTTCACAATGGCCAGAACAGCAGTTTTTTGAATTTGTCAATATGCCAGGTAACCTCCAACTCCAAAAAGCAGAGATCCTGTTATCATAAATCCAATTATGTATGCGTCTTCTATATCCTCAACTGACAAGATGGACAGACACATGATCTTCCACTGCCCCCAGGAATCCACCGTGTATCTGGCTGCAAATGTTCCATCTGGGCAGGAGGGCTCTCCTTCCCCTGTCTTCTTGTTGAGAAAATTTGATCAATTGCATTGAGAGACCAGTTGACCAGATCTATATTTTACAATTTGGAAGATATGCAAAGAGAGGCTCTAAAAAGGTTCACAGGACAAAGAGCAGTAGCAGGAGAAGGAGAGAAGGAAAAATGTCAGCCTTCACCGAGAGCAAGAAGGAAAAAAGGTATTTGACCTCACTTTGTTTTGCCTGATGATGAGTGCAAACGAGATACTACAGTCAAATCATCACTTTGTACCTAATATGATTTAATATATTGGGAACTTTGTGCACGTTTGATTTCCAACAGACTTCTCTATTTTTTCCCTCCGGGATGATCCTAAAGGTAAAGTGCAGTCAGCAACCAGTTGCTTTAGCTTAAAAATACTATAGCCTTAATCTGGAGAAACACCCCCCTTTTGAACAATTTTAACACCTTGAAGTCCTCTCCTTGACTCCTCTCCTTATATTTTACTCACTTTGAAAGGCCATGATTTATTACATCTGGTTATATGATGAAAAATGAGCAACTGCAGCATAAATGAGCTTTAAGTTGTCATCTACTTCATGAAACATGCACTTACCACCCTGTAATTCTGTAAACTGAAAAACCATGTGCTGCTAAAGTCTGCACTTTGTATTGATTATTGCAATTACACACTATTACAGTTCTATTATCCTCGCTGGCTGTCTTTAATTACAATAGAGAGCATGAGGAAGAGTGAAGGTGAGGAGGGGGAGAGGCAGTGAAAGTGAGAGAAACACAGCATATAGACAGACAGATGAAGTGAGACGCTGCACCCAGCTAATTAAAGCAGAAACTTTTTGTTTCAACGAGTTGACAGGGAAAGAATCTGGCAGGGAATTAATCTGTCTGCAGGGAACACAATGACGAGTAGCACACATGCGCGCACATGCACAGGGAGGAGGACTGCAGAGGGCCGTTTCCATGGTTACTGAGCATGGCGGCACATCATGCGACAGAGTTAATGCAGAGGTGTGCGTTTCATTTAAGCTTTCATTATGTTACCAGGCTGACCTCTTCCAACTTCCTCCACACGAGCTTATAGAAAGAGAAAACTCGCCCAGAAAAATCCTATGAGTTCCTGGATAAACAGTCTTTCTTGTTTCTAACAGCATCTGGTGCAGTTCCTGAGGTGAAAGCCATTGCTCATAAAAGGGGACACAGTAAAGAAAACGAGGCACTTAAAGGAAACTCCTGAAGACGGTGTTTTATGTAAAGTTGCCTTCACTTAGTGTTACACAAGTAACTTTTAGGGTTAATGTACAGTGACTTAGCAAAGCTTTCAAAAGTGCTTGAGATCTTAATTTTGGTAAAATGACACATATATCTTATATAAATAACACATACTACACAAACCAGTTTTGAATAGAGTCGAGAGGCTGCCTTAAAAGAGTCAATTTAAATGAAGCATGTGCAAAGGCAACAAGAAACTGTGCCCCGTAGCAATGGTTTTCAGATTTGCTCCTGAGCAATTGTAGCAATTTTTACCACAGGATTGCTTCTGCTATTATTGCAATAATGTTTGAGAGTCCAAAGATCAGACTGTGTTTTAGCATTATCCTACACACACAAATCTTTTTTTATTTTATTTTGACTGTTGTGGACTTTCTGTTGTGAAAATAAATAAGAAGAATGAACTTTGTTAAGAGTATTAAGGTATCTCCGCTCAGGAATGAATGGGTTTACCTCCTGGGTTTGGGCATGGGC